GATCCTTGAAGACAGCGGAGTCTCTTCCCGTCTGCTCTTCTCCAGGGTCCACTTCACTTCTGGGGGGAACTTCCTGAACCCCCACCTCTCTCCCCCCGCCCGTCGAGCGCCTCTCTCTGCCAAGGCAGCCCCTTGTGACCCCTTTGGGGAGGGACTTTCCTGCTCTGCGAGGCCTAGTTTTCCTCTCTGTCTCAGGCAGGTCTCTCCCCCCCTCCCAACACTTGATCTAAGAGACACCCCCAAATAAAGGTCCTCCATAAAAACCCACTGCCTCTCAGCTCCACAGAATTGGTTTTGGACCCCTTGGCACTCATGACTTCTTTCCAAACTGAGTGAGTCCCCACCTGTGGAAAAAAAAAATCACAGCCCCTTCCCCCTTTTCTAAAGAGCAAGGAAATAATAAATCCATAAAAATAAGAAAATATCAAGCGTTGCTTTGATAACCCTCCCCCACCCAAATGGGGAAAGAGACCCCCTAATATTTGCTTGCTCACCAATAAAACTGACCATTGGAAGGGGGGGGGGGTTTCTGTTAAACCTTTTACAGGGATGCCAAAGGCTTAGCCCACCCCCCCACCCCCAAATTCTCCTGCCTAAAACGATCACACCACCATTTAAGAGGGCCTGGCAAGGATGCCGCCTCCACCCTGGGCAAGGCGCCCAGGAAAACCTTTTGATTTCGGACATTATCAACCAGAGCTTCCGTCTCCGAGTCCCTCGACGCCCCCCCCCCCCCCCCCCACCCGCACCCCCCCCCCTCCCCCCCGCCCGCCTCCCGCAGCCCCCCCCTCCCCCCCCAAACCCAGGTTGCCTTGGCCCCACGTCCCCCACGGCCAAGACACCTGCCCCCACCCCAAATCCAGAGACTTTGCAAGGCGCCCCAAGCAGGAAGGCAGAAATGCCACGAATGAACCAAGCGAGGAATGAATGAATGGGGGGCCCTTGTAATTGCATCCTCTTCCTTGACCCTTAGAACAAAAAAAAGGCGCGGGGAAGAGACCCCCCACTCATTCCCCCAGCCCCCAAATCCAGAGCCTGACCCCCTTTTTTTTCTCTTGAAACCCCCCCCAATATCCAAGATCTCCAGGCAATTCAATAGCCCCCCCCAAGACTTCTCCTACCCCACATCTGACAACAAAGACACCCCCCCAACCAAAAGTGGGGGAGAGAGACCCCCATTCATCCCCTCCCTCGCCCCCCAAGCCAAAGGGGGCTTTCTTAAAGGTGGGGAGGGGGCGCAGACAAGCGAGGGGAGCCAAAGATGTCGAATGGCCATAGGAAAACCCCCTGCCAGTCTCTATGGGGAGGGGGCTGCTCCCCCCCCACAAGGGGACCCCCGCCCCACGTGCCCCCCCCAGGGGGGGGTCCCCCCTGAAGGGGGGGGGTCAGGATGGAAATGCACCCCTTAATTTAGACCCCCCCCGTTTTGATTGACACCCCCCCTCCAAGGTCTGGAGACGCCCCCCCCATCCGAGGCTAGCGGGGATCCCCATAGGCCGCCGAGCTGTCAATCAAGCGCCGGCCCCGCCCCCTCCGGGTTCCACTCACCTGGCGGCGTCGGCGGCTCCCTCAGGCCGAGCGGGAGGGCAGCGGCGGCCGAGGCGGCGGCGGCGGCGGGAGGGCGCGGGAGGGGTGGCCGGGCGGCGGACAGCAGACGCGGCGCCACCAGCAGCGACACCGACACCTCCGCCGCCGCCGCCGGAGCCGGCACCCACCACAAACAATGCGTTTGATTGGGCGGCGGGCCCCGCCGGCCGCGACCCGCCTTCCGGGACGCCAGCGACGACGGCCGTTGGGCACCGTGTGGGAGCGACGTGCCGCGCGGCCAATGGGGCGGCGAGATAGGCTCGCGGGGGGCCGGGGGAGGGCAGCCATTGGCTCAAGCCACCGGGTGACTGGCGTCGGGCGAGGCCAACCAGAGGCACCGGAGCTTCCCTCCGCGGAGCGACCCCCCTCTTTTTTTTTTAATATTAAGCCGCCACATCCGGGTACTCGGCCTCATGGAAGATGTGTCGGCGGGAGGGGGAGAGGCGTCTGGAGGCGCCCCGGGGCGGTTTTTTTTTTTTAATTCCGGCCCTCGGCGGCCACCGTAGGCCGCCTTGCCTTGCTTTTAATAGAAAAATAAACCCTCTTAATTAAAATGTGTAACAATTGCATCTCCCAAATACATCGTGGTTGTGTTGCTTCCTAGCTTGCACGAGTCCTAAGCTGCCTTTGCCTTGGCTTCAGGTTGGCAACAGGCAGACCATGGCTTGCTTTAAACGAGACCCAAACCTGGCTTGCATCTATGACCCCTTGGGGCCATCCCAGGAGAAACCAGAGTTTACTCCATCCTGGTTAATTGACTAAACCACCATTTGGCTGGGATTGCGTGAATCTGGAAAGCTCCCATTGCTTAGAAGCAAAGTTGGCTTGCATAAACCATGGTTTGTTGCCAAAGAAGTTGCCATTGATGGGTTTCCGTCCCCGCATTACGGGATTTAATGACCGGTTGAAGTTACAATGGCATTGAAACAAGCAAGTGGCGGCCACTCCTCACACTTATGACGGTTTCAGCATCTCCATGGACCTTCCCAGCTGGCTTTCTGAAAGCAATGGGGGGGGGAGCCAATTCATTTAACGTCTGCATTGATTCACTCAACAACCTTGAGGAACAAAGGGGATGTAGATTGGAGAGCCACTCACTTAACAACTGTCTTGCTTAGCGGGGGACACGGTGTGCAAATATTTGGACGTTGGAAGCCCAATTCCCCTCTTTGCACCAAGCCGCAAAGGATGGTGACTGTTGGACTAGATGATCTCCAAGGCCCCCTCGGAGCCTTCCAGCATTGTCCAATTCTATTGATTAAATCGGGTGTGAATCCAGCATAAAGCTGGAAACCGAGTGGTGCGATGGCCTGATCCTAGATACAGCCTAGTATTTCTCTCTCTCTTTGCCACAATGAGAATATCCTCTGCTGAGCAAGACTCCGCCCTGGTGACAGGAAGAGCATCCGGCCTGTAAAAACACACACCTCCATTCAGTTGCCCAGACATCGCCCCGCAAGGGATTACGGGGTCGTTAAAAGATGCTGATGATGAACTGAACCCCCTCCCCAATAGCTTCAGCCCAGATAGGGAAGGCCCTCCGCACGTTCTCAGAAACCCTCATGAAACGGAGACAAGACGCCGGAAGGAAAATACAGAGGCCTTTTTTTTTATTTACAGGACGAGAAGAACGTTGGAAAAAAAACAAAAACAAAAAAACCCAACTCGAACAGTTAACAGAAACACGGCAACGACGGGCTGGCTGGGGTGGGGGGTCC